TTTTTTGACCTCGAGTCTTGAAAGTCTTGATTAATCTCGAGCCTTCAAGTTCCTGAAGTTGTCGATTCGATAGAAGACGAGAGTTGGTCAGTCGAAAAATCCAGAAAGTGTTTGAAGTGTATGAGACGCACATGAGATTCACAATTATTCGAGAATTTACGATTGCTCGATTACCTTGTAGGAACCAGTGCCACTTTAGAGACAAAACTTGTTCACAATTTCGTTCGGCAGTTGAAAGGCAGGTTGTGAAACGTCGATTGGAGATCTCGCGAGCTCGAACTCGAAATCAGAGACGAGAACACACACCCCGGCGATGGGCAAAGCGTCATCTTAAAAGGGTTAAACGACAAAGAGAGAGAGCAGCTTAGTGTTCCCTCCGTCAGAGAAGAGGGGGAAGAAAAAAAATATACACTCAGAGCGTATCTTTTGAAAGGTTTCGTTTCTGTTTTCCAGGTTGATTAAAAATCGTGATGCGTGGATGTTTCAGACGAGATTGTCGTCCCTGTTGAAAACCGCGGAGGATTTGCATATCAAGGGGCTGGCCGAGGTGAGCTGGCGTAGCGATTCCACGCAAAATGATCTAGGAAACAGCGGTCACAGTCCCGGCGCGGCGACTCCTGGTGTCGAGACGGTCCTCAGGGAAGGCGATGCCGACGAGCCGCCACCGCCGAAGCAAAGACGCAGAGGGCGTCCACCTCTGGACGATCCACCCTCGGCCCACGACGTTTTCACACCGAAGATCACATGTATTACCGGAAATGTACGTCAAGTATCGCTGTCTCTCTCCCTTCTTGCCCTTTCGCATGTCTCTTCAGATATTGTCCTCTTTTCATACATGTACACAACATCTTCCCTTTCTCATACAATAAATATATAAATATAGAAAGTCGTAAAATTAGAATTATTAAAACTAACGTGAAAACACGTTAAATAATTTACATCTATTGAATCTATCATAAATGTTCATCGAATTATAGTGTCCATTTTCGGTTTTTACTCGAGGAGGACAGTAGGTCAAAACTAGAACTACCACTTAAATGTGAAATTTTTTATCAGAGAAATTAAAAATAAAAGTCGTTGTTCTTGTACTTTTATAAAAATTGAATTATTGGAGTAATTATTAATTACAATTAATTACACTTAGACAGCATGATAACTAGTTTATAATATAACGGAGGACAC